TCGAATAAAAAAGAAATGTTGTTACCAAAGTTAGCAAGATGGAGAATTTCCTGACTACTGACTTAAAAAAAAAATGCAGAAATGAAATGGAACCAGGAAGTTCCAAAAAAAGTATACCAAGTACACTTAAAATGACTAGAAGAGGGCAGTGCAGAGAAGACATTCCACCTCTTGACTTGTACTACACATAACTGATAGTTTTAGACTTAGTATACGTTTTGCTTTGTTTGACTAGGGACAAAACAATAGAACTATCCCAAACAAAGGCATAGAGGGGCTTTGCTCGGGTTTTACTTTTTAATTGTCTTTAAACAAAGTAAGTTGGGCAAATTTCAGCAAACATGAATGATTTGGAAGGTTGTGTGTGTGTAAAAATAGAGAGTGATAGCTGGATCTCTTGTAGCCTTCACTGTAGCGCAACTATTACAGTAAAATATTGAAGTGAGATCATTACTAGGCAATTGTTTTTCAGCGCTCATAAGAGAATTAGAAAACAAGCTCTCAAATATGAAATACTGCTCAACTCTAACTCTACTGTGCAAACCATCCAAACAAAATATGCCTCACTTAGGAAGAGAAATGCTTTCCTGCACATATTAGAACTCAAATATCTCTCAGCAACAATCTACAGTGAGAGGAGACACAGTGTCGTATATAAATTTTTGTAATTGAAATTAAATCAAACTATCTTTGAAAATGAAAAACTGCACCCCCGAGATAGGATTTAATTATCCTCTTAAAGTCACCTTTGTAGTTTTAACATACTGTATTCGAATTGACTGATTTAGAGCATAAGGAGTCTAACTTAAAAATTGGAAACCAGACAAAACAGAAAAAGATGACAAAGGTATTTGTTTTCTCGGTTGCAGCTGGACTTGAAAGGGTCTCAAATAAGTGCTGGGTTTCTCGGTGGAATTTTATTAATCTGTAACAAAATTTGAGGCTCCAACAGGTTAAGTGTATTTATAGAGTGACTGCTTCTTTTGTACAGTGTACAGTATGGGCCTGATTTTCCACTACCTTGTGTTTTCAGCTGTGCCCAACGGGCACAGAATGCTACCAAATCAGAACTTTTCACTGATGGTGTAAAGCTGTGGAGAATGAGAGCTTTTATATTAGATGTTAAAGATATTATAGATTTTATATTAGATGTTATATTTTATATTAGATATTGCCACACAAATCAAAAGTTGCCACTTCCTTTAGTACCACCAGCCTTTACAAAGGGAGAAATTCAAAAATAGATATTTGTAATTCCAAACTAGAACAGCAAGTCCAGTTATTCAGTAACTAGTGCCTGCCACAGGTAAGGCGAGTTCTAACTTCCATTCTAAAACCCTTTTTTCAGGTGCTCATCATTTTTGGATACAAATTCTTTTTGATCTAAAGTTGTCCATGCTTGGACTCAGTGAATGGAATGTTCTAAAAGTTTGAACCCGGGCTAAGATTGAGCCGATCTGCAGCATCCTGGGGCTTCTCTGAAGCTGGTTTCATGATCCAGAATCTCAGCTTCCATTAAACCATTACATCTGTAAACTGAACTGTTAAGAAGAAAACTTAAAAAATGTGACTCATGTAACTGATGAAGAGATGCTTACAGAGAATCTGGAACAATAACTCTGAGTAGTGTGAACTGCCCAATTCCTGTCAGTAAGAAGCTAACTCAGAGGCTAGGGACAATTTAAAGGGTCAGAACTGGTAACTGTTCGTTCCTCATGTAAGAAAGGAGGAATCACAGAGCTACACGATTTACTGCGTGTGATGTCTCATTTAAGTGCTACAAAGGGTGGTGTTTTAGAGTTACCGCTACTTATGCTCTGGTTTGAACAAAGTTGGTTCAGTTTTGTTTTGAATTATGGGTGTGAAAGTGTATATGAGTTGGATGGAAGGACAGTGGTGGGGAAGAACACTCAACTGTTCCCATATATGCTAAATGGAATTTTTTTCACATAGGTAACAGCTCAAAATAGAATCACTATGCTAAGCTTGTTTTATTAACTCACTGAGATTTAAGGAAGAGGCCAACTTAAATTTCTAAGTGTTTAAAGTCAGAATTTTTAACACATGCACAGCAAAATATTTCTTTATTCATTCTAAAGCTGAAACACCCAGGGGGCATGGCAGGTGTTAAAGCACATAAACTTTGAATCAGTCTAAACTCTGGCTCACAATTTGAGGTGACCTAATTTCTAACAATAGTAGGGAAGCCATAGCAGCATAGGTGGCTGCTCCTTGTGGAACCCTGGGTACATGGTCCAATAGCTGCCATGCGATGAAAGCAAGTTCAGGTATGTCAACCCCTGCTTCAATCACACCTCTCGATTGCAGAGTAGACATACCCAAAGTGATTCTGTCTCCTAGTGGCTGGACCACATAGAAGTTTATGAACCCAGACCTTTGAGCTGACAAAATTGAGTCTTTTAGCTCAGGAATCAGAGGCTCATGCTTTTAGATCCAGAGATATAATTCCTGCTGCAGATAACCTTCCCAAGGGTGTCCTATTACATTATATTGAGATTTCACAGGAGATGAACTACACCGCTATAGTTATACCAGTAAAACTCACTGTGTAGACACTCTTATTCAGAATTACAGCAACCTTTTATTCAGTGTAGCTGAATTTGTACATTAACAGTGTTATTCCATACGTCTGTTAGTCTATAAGGTGCCACTGGACTCTTTGCCGTTATTCCAAATAACTCCAAATTTGGAGTTATACTAGTATAATTGTACCAGTATAGTAATGCTGATAATACAGATATGCCCAGAGTCTGCTCCCACTGAAGACATTAGGACTTTTGCTATTTACTTTAATGGGAGCAGATGGGAGCCCGTAATAAGGCCATGGCATACAGGACAGCTGTTCCAGACAGCAGGAACTACAGAAAAAAACAGTGGAAGTATGTGGAAAAGCTTCTCTGGGGTCACAGATATATTGAGAATAAGGTCTAATAATTAAGCATTTTAGAATCAAGGTCTGGGGTGAAATCCTGGAGCCATTGAAGCCAATGGCAAAACGCTCATAGACTACCCAGGGGTCAAGTTTTTCCCCACACTATCTAGTGTTCATGTCTCTTTTTTAACCCCTACAGATTTCTCTATCCCCAAAAGATATTAAAAAATTATGCAGAACTCCAGTTCGCTGCAGAAGGTGGAGTAGCCATTATAGATCAAAATTGGGGAATAAAGACAGGAAATCAGAATGGGGTGGGGGGGTAGGGATGCCGGAACAATTTATATAGTGGGGTTCTGAGAGCCATTGAACCAAACCCTATCTATAACAGAAACCACTTCAAGCCAGGTGGAGCAACAGCACCTCCAGCACCCGTAGTTCCAGCACCGACTCCTGGGATTCTGTTGAGGTTCTTATATTGCCCCCATCACCATGGTATGTCAGCACATGATGGACTCCACTTGTTACCAGTCAATAGCTTCCTTTGCAGCTGTCACACACATTTCTGTGAGGGGGCCAATTGGTCCTCTAACACTCTCTCTGGCCATGCACCCAGGGTAGATGCACTGCCCCCTCTCCTCCTTCCTCTGGGCAGAAATGTCACTGCACTGCCAAATAGGGCAAAGCTCACCTGTCAGAGTGACTGCTGAGTCTGCTGAGGGGGCCTCTCCCTTCTGGAGGGCTCCCTGGATGCAGAACCCATCCAGGCTGTGAAGCTCCGATTGGGCTCCATGCTTGGGTCAGGATTTGGCTCAGATATTGCACTTGATTGAAATAATTCTCATCAGTTCTACCTTAAATGATGTAAAATTATTTTGAAAACAAAAACAAAAGTGTGTTTTTAAATTTCCTAAATAAAGGGGAGAAAAAATGACACAGGAGCTGGGTTTTTTTGAGTAAAGTTTTTGCAGTTCACCTTAAAAATACATAAAGATACTTTGAGTGCAACAGAAACAGTGACAGCATTAGATAGAATACAGTAGCACCAGGTTGTGTTTTCAGATACTTGATTTTGACTTTTAAAACGTGTCTGACTAGGTTCTTCTCTGCATTAGCCTGTGCTAAGCCAGAGTAACTCCCTTAATGTTAATGGAGTTACTCTGCATTCCCACCAGCATGACTGAGAACAGACTGATCCACCACTGCTAGTAGCTTTTCACTCTTAATAAAGTCATATTTTCCATTTGAATAAAGTTAAATTTCTGGATTGCTGAAGTATTATTAAATAGAAATAGAATAATCTTGTATAGTTCTAAATTACATTATTTTAAATTAAAAGCTTGTGGCTTAGCAACAGGAAAAGATTAGGTCATATGCTGTAGTGTTTTAAACATTATATAATTTAAAAAAAAAATCCAAGAAAACCCCAGAACTGGAGTGAAAGATGACTCAAAATCTTCACTAATATTTTTATGTGTGGATAAGTCAATGTTTGCATTGGATAAGTCAATGTTTGCATTGCCTAACTTCTTTTGAGTTACACTATATGGGACAAAACATGAACCACCATACACCAAAAAATACCTTTAAATTTTTTATAATATTTCCTCTTAATGTAGAATGGACACCTTAAAAAAGTTTTACAGTCTCCCACATCCTAAGCAGAGGGAATACCTGCTCATAACAGTAGTACTTTGCCTAAAAATCAGTAAAAAGGACATTTTAAAGCGTGCCCACTGTACAGTGCATTTCAAATTACCGTGCTCAAGTGTGTGTTTATATATATGTATTCATACTGACTGCTTTTTGCATGAAATATCCAGAGGGGCTAAGCATTAGAACTCCTACAAAAGAGATCTGTGTAAGCTCTTTGGAACAGGGACCATCTACCACTCTGTGTTTGTACAGGACCTACCACCATGGGGCCCCACTCTTGGTTGGCCCAAGGCACTGCCGTAATAAACATTTTAAATAACATAAGGCTTGGCAGGATTTGGCTCCATAACAACCAGGCATATGTTTAGTTATACTGATGGAGCGATATTTCTTTAAGATTTTGGTCCCTCAGGCACAATATACATTTGTATTGACAAAATAATGACAGTACCTATTATAACGTGCATGCCAAGTCTTGCCAAATGCTTCACAGTATGATAACCAATTCCTTTAGCACCTCCAGTCACTATGGCAACATTTCCATTTTGTGTAGGGAAAACTACATGAAGAGAAAAAAAAATCATTAATTCACGATAGCAATACAGATAAGGCTATAAGGTACATATTATAAATATATACATACATTTAATGGATCACTCAACTTTGGCCAATAAAAAATGCGACAACAAATCTGGTGGGCAATAAACGGAACGTAACACTTACCTTTATCATCCACAGTATAATTTTCTAGTATTAATAGTTCACAAAAGACTGTGGTTGATGACACACAAATTATAGATGTCCAATTAGAAAAATGTAGTAATTTCTATTTGCATGCATTCTGTTGTTATTGTTGTTGTCCTGCAACAATCTGTCCTTTAAGAATTTCGGCTTAACTATTTCTATTGTCTAAAGACAGCATGACAGCTGTTACAAGTCAATTTACAGGCTGTTTATTGGTCAAACATGCATACAGGGACAATATAAGAATTTTTCAGTAAGCAGCATGATATCCTTCAGACCCTTTGGGAAGGGGCTCTGCATTTGCTTCCCCAATAATATGGAGCAAAATCACAAATAAGCTGAACAAGAAAAACTGTCAAAACAAAATTCCTGATGTCCACTTCCCAAAATGTTTGCAGCCCTGTCTATAGAATATAAAAATATTAAAAACATATAAAAACATATGCCCCTGAGAAAATGTGAGGGTTTATCAGTTTTAGTCAATATTTTGTTCATTATGAGCAGAACTGTGCAACTCTTACTCATGTAAATACATAAGAACAGCTATACTTGGTCAGACGTTGGTCCATCTTGCCCACCGTCCTGTCTCCCAACAGTGGCCCATACTAGAGCTTCAGGGGGAGTGTACACAACAAGACAATTATGGAGTGATCCACTGCTGTCTTCTACTCTTGGCTTCTGACAGTCAGAGGGTTAGGGTCACTCCAAGCATGGGGTTGTGTCCCTGACCATCTTGGCTAATACCCATTGATGGATCTATCCTCCATTAATGTATCCAGTTATTTCATAAACCCAGTTATACTTCTGACCATCACAGCATCCCATAACAATGAGTTCCCCAGGTTAGTTGTGTGACAAAAGTAATTCCTGCTGTTTGTATTAAACCTGCTGCTTATTCATTTCATCAGGTGACCTCTGGTTTTTGTGTTGTTTGAAAGGGTAAATAATGCTTCTCTAGTAATTTTTTCTACACCATTAATGATTTTATAGATCTCTATAATGTCATCCACCCCCTTAGTCATCTCTTTTCTAAGATGAACAGCACTAATCTTTTTAGTCTCTCCTTATATGGAAACTGTTCCATAATCCATCCGTAATTGTCTTTGTTACCCTTCTCTGAACCTTTTCCACTTCCATTATATCCTTTTTGAGATGGGGCAACCAGAAGCGGACACAATATTCAAGGTGTGGGCGCACCATGGATTTATATAGTGTCGTCATGTTTTCTGTCTTATTTTCTATCATTTTCCTAATAGATCCCAATATACTGTTAGCATTTTTGATCACTGCTGCGCATTCAGCAGAATTTTTCAGAGAACTATCCATGGTAATGCCAAGATCTCTTTCTTCGGTGTTTAAAGCTCATTTAGAACCCATCATTGTACATCTATAGCTGGGATTATTTTTTCCAATGTGCATTCATTTGCACCTCTCAATGCTGTATTTCATCTGTCATATTGTTGCCCAGTCAGCCAATTTTGTGATATCCCTCTGTAACTTTTCACAGGCTGCTTTGGACTTACATATCTTCAATAATTTTTATTGTCTGCAAACTTTGCCACCTCACTTTTCACTGTTTCCAGATCATTAATGAATATGTCGAACAGCAGAGGTCCCAGTACAGAACCTTGGGGGACCCCATTGTTCACCTCTCCATTGTGAAAACTGACCATTCATTCTTACCCTTGTTTCCTATCTTTCAACCAATTACTGATCCATAAGAGGACCTTCCCTCTTATCTCAGGGTTACTTAGTTTCCTTAATAGCCTTTGGTGAGAGACCTTGTCAAAGTCTTTCTGAAAATCCAACTAGACTTTATTGACTGGATCCCCCTTATCCACATGCTTGTTAACTCTCTCAAAGAATTCTAACAGACTGTGAGGCATGATTTCCCTTTACATAAGCCAGGTTGACTCTTCCTCAACACACCGTGTTTATCTGTGTGTCTGATAATTCTGTTCTTTACTATCGTTTCTACCAATTTACCTGGTACTGAAGTTAGACTCACTGCCCTGTAATTGCCAGGATCCCCTTTAGCTATCTTCCAGTCATCTGCTACAGAGGCTGATTTCAGCGACAGGTTATGCAGTACAGTTGATAGTTCTGCTATTTTATATTTGAGTTCCTTTGGAATTCTTGGGCAAATACCATCTAGGCCTGGTGACTTATTTCTGTTTAGTTTACCAGTTTGCTCTAAAGCCTCTTCTATTGACACATCAATTTGGGACTATCTGAGTAACTGTCCACTCATGTAAATAAGGGGCACACAATCAGGTCTAAGAGTTAAGGTTGAAATTACAGCTGGAGCACTGAGTAATCTACTAAATTTTCTATTCCAAAAGCCTTTTTCAGGTGTTTATTACTTTGCTAAGCTTTTACCTTTTTGGCTGATATTTTCCAGATCTGCTCTCTCCATGAGGACACTTGAAAATAAATGTTGAGCAAAAATGCCTCTGCAGTTTTTGAAAATAAGAGAGTGAATTAAAAAAAAAGATATTTTTCTAGAATGAAATAAGAAATTGCAACTTTTCTATGAACAGCTCTTGTGCCTAAACAAGACAAGGCAGAAATTTGTAATTTGGCAAAGAAATAATCTCTTGGCCAGATGTGTTCCTTTCAGCCATCCAGTGAAAATACAGTTTGACTTAGCAGAATCATTAGAGTTGCTAAAAAGGAATAACAATAACGGTGTATTAAATATCAGCCTTATCACACTATGTGGGCTTGTAACTTGTGTGGCATTTTGGACTCTATCAAAATGCTATGGTAAACTCTGTCTCATTCAATGTACAGGTGCATATAGTAGAAGGCAGTATGATCACTGAAGGTGCAAATGAAAGGAGGAAGGTGGCCAAAGCCAAAGATGAATGATTTCTTTGTAACATGACACAGCATTGACAAGTGCCACTCTGAAACAAAAGATGAAATGGCTGAGGACAACAATTTGGAGGTGGACTACAACATAATGGATCAAGGGAACAAGAAGGAGCCCAGTGCTTATGGGACTTTGACAAGCAGGAAGAATACAGCAAATGCGCAAACAACAAAAAGATCCTGCCACAAAGCAGTTTTCAGCACAGAATCAAGAGGCCTGATTCTCCAGTGTATTGTTCCAATTTCACACCAGTGACTTTAGTGCGGCCATTCACATACCTAAAGTTAAGCATGTGTTTAAGCACTTTGCTGGATCAGGGCCTAAGTTCCTTAAAATTAATTTCAGTTGAAGAATTTTGGAAATCTTTTAGTTCCAACGTTTCAAAACTTTCACAAAGAAACAATAACTAACTCTTTCTAAGCTAATATTCCTTAGCCCAAATAAGCTCTATTTCTTAGGATTTTCCCCAGGGGTTGGGTATGAGTTGGGATAAGAAGCATTAGGATTTTATTGATGATGGGGGCAAGATGATCCATTTGTAGACAGTGCTACAATTATATGCATGTGTAAAGAGAAATGCACTTACAGGGCACAAACATGTGTATGTGCCTACTTAATGGGCACATTTGACAAAGTTAGATAAATAAGAATTCATTAAATAGGAATGTACATTGAAAATAGCCCACAGTAGAGGTAAATACATCGCAATCCAAGACAACTTCTATGAAGAGTGATGAGGGAAGCCTACACAAATGCAGACTGTTTTTTTTTCTCTCATTTCCTTTTTATTCCACAACTGTCTGTTCAGTATATTCAGGCTTATTCCATTTTCATTCATTCTCTGTACTGATATTTGCAGTTTCAACTGTAGTGATTCTCAAAAAAAAAAAAAAATCCTTAAATAGGACTGCTTTCCATCAGCTCCAAGTATATTATCTTCCACCTCCTCTCACTCTAAATATGCCTCCTGCTTCCTTCCCCTTCTCCCCATGTCCCCCCTTTCAACCTACCACTTTTTTGTATATCTCAGATACATATCCCCATCACTTATTTCAATGACCTACATCATTAGTTTTGTTCACTGCACTGACTTTGCTACATTTTAGTAGAAGTGGAAGTCACTAAGAATGAGGTGGTTGTGAAGAGAGTAAAATGGAGGAGCAAAGTCAGAAAAGTGATAGACGCTGGATGCATGATGAGGAAGAGAAGCTGATGGAGTGGTGTTTAATGCTTGAGGAATGGGAAAGGAAAAACCCAACCCTCTCACAGAACTGGGTTTATAAAGTTGACAGGCCAGTCATCACTCAATCCACAAAGGTACTTAGATACTTAAACCCCAGACTTAGGTGCCTAAATCTCAGGTTTAGGCACTTAAGGCACAGTTTTAGGCTCCACTGCTATCCACAAAACTCCTGCTGAACCCTGTAGGTGCCTCAACTCACTCAGTGCCTAAGTTTTCAGGGTAAAAGTTCCCTCAACACCTATGTTTCTGCATGTGCACCTTCACTGCTGCCTCCCTCTAGGTGTCTGGACACCTGTCTCCCACCTAGGCCCCAAAGCAATCCATGATGTCTCTTATCTGTCCTGTCTTAAAAAGTCATTGAGCCTGAGGAGGCAGGGGGTGATTCTCTAGCCTAATGGTTAGGGTATAGTGGATACTGTCCCCCTGCTCCAATTACTCTTTCATTATTTATCCACAGTGGAACACCTAGAACAAAATAGAAGGAGGAAGCCCTACATCAGAACATCACATAGCTCAGTTGTTAGAGAACTCTCCTGAGTGGTGGGAGACCCCTGTTCAAATCCTTTCTCCCTCACGGGGGGGGAACTGAACCTCTTCCACATCCCAGGAGAGTATTCTAACTACTGGTCTAAACATTATAAGGTGGGCACCATCATCTCCTCCTCCAGCTGTTTTGTGTGGAGTGCAGCAGGCACCT